AGCTCCCTGTGCCTCAGTTTTCCCATCTGTCAAGCGCTTTGAGACCTACTTATGAAAAGCATTATGTAAGAGCAAGGTGATAGTGTTATTCAATATACTATATTTTTACACCATTGATTGCTGCATTTCATACCCCCCCAGGCTTTCAGCTGTCCTGTAATAGATCCCCCCTTTTATTCCATTTTAAAGCAACCTTTGCCAGGAGAATGGATAAATCCATAGTTAAAGCAAACTGGAGTTTTACTGTGATCCAGTGAAATATTTATTCAGAATCTATTTGCTCCTGCAGATAGACTATTGAAATGACACACTTCTCTCAAATGCATTTATTAGCTTCAGAACCTTCTAGGCCCCTCTACAGGCAGGAATAAGCAGACTTAATTTGTGTTCTGTGTGATTAAACAACGTCTGGGCTGTTTTATTAGTCTTTGTACACCTGTGATTACAAGAGGCTATTCTCTCTGTATACTTTGCAGAGTGTCTGAGTCTGCCTTCCAGAATCAATGTAACTTAATTTGCACAATAAAGAAACCCAAAGGTTTTAATGCTTCACGGGTTGACTTCAGGTGACTGTCTCCCGTGTCTTCTCTGTCAGTACTATAAATACATAAGAGAAGAAAAAAAAAATCCCTCTTATCCCTCCCAGTCTCTAGTCAATTACCCCCTACAACTCCTCTCCCTGCTATTCTCCTGTTCAGAATCACTCCCCACAACTTGACTGATCACCCAGTGTCTGTTCTCTGCTTTCTCTTCACTTTACTTCTTACCACTCCCTCTACAAGCATCCAGTCTTTTAGTATGACAGCTCCACCCTCCCTCATGCTTCGAGTTCTTACTAGCCAATGTTCAGAACACCCAATCCCCAAATGAGCAGTAACCTCAGGAACATGTTTGCTCTCCCTCCAATGCTCGATGCTCCAGAAAATGTATTTTGTTAATTGGAAGAGTGACTGATGCACCTATAAATGCAGCTGCCCCCCTGATTTCTACTCAACGTGGAGACTCAGATGCAATAACAGAAGCGCTTTGTTTCGGAGGCTTTCCCCGCGCTGTATACATCTGTAGGGGCTTTCCCCCTTGTGGATTCTCTGGTACCTAACAAGGTGTGAGCTCTGGCTGAAGCTTTTCCCGCACTGGGGGGCATTTATAGGGTCTCTCACACTTGTGAGTTATCTGGTGTCTCAGGAGGTCTGAGCTCTGGATGAAGTTTTTCCCACACTCCTTACAAGTGTAGGGTTTCTCTCCCGAGTGGGTTCTCTGGTGCTTGATAAAATGAGAACACCAACCAAAGCCTTTCCCGCACTTAGCACACTGGTAGCGTCTCTCTCCTGCATGGGTTCTCTGGTGGTTAACGAGGTCCGTGTTGGCACTGAAGCTTTTCCCACACACCTTACCTCTGTAGGGTGTCTCTCCTCTGTGGAGTCTCTGATGAGATGTAAGGGGGGGGGACTCTCCTGGAAGTTTTTCCCACACTCAGTATATTTAACATGTGGGTTCTCTGATGTTGACTAAGCTCCGAGCTCTGACTGATGTTTTCCCCACATTTGCGTCATGTGCCCAGCCTCTCTCCTATGGGGGATTTCTGGCAAAGAGTCATTTCTTTGAGGTTCTTGAAATTTATTTCCTGGTGAGTGGTTTTACCCTGGCTCTTCCACACAGGGGTATTCCTCTCACTTTCTGACGTGCACTCACTGTCGCAGACTTTTCCCCAGTCAGAAGTTTGGGAAATATTATTGTTGGATCTTTCCAACAACGTCTCTTGTGTTTCCACTGGCTCAGGTCCTTTATGAGAAGGAGAATCCAGCAGAAGCCTCTCCATCAAGAACGCCTCATCTTCGGGAATAAAAAGAAAATACGCACATGATTTGTGTACTTGGGACACATACAAGTGTGGAATAGGTAAACTTCAAAATCACAACCCCAAATCAGAATAAGATAAGAGAGATAAATAGTCAGGAGCCAAATCTTCATAATCCTTGATCAGAGTACCAGAAGGGGACAAATTGTGCTTATAAATCCCATTTGAATATTAAGGCCTGGTCCCCACTAAGCCCCCACTTCGGACTAAGGTACGCAAATTCAGCTACGTTAATAATGTAGCTGAATTCGAAGTACCTTAGTCCGAACTTACCGTGGGTCCAGATGCGGCAGGAAGGCTCCCCCGTCGATGCCGCGTACTCCTCTCGGCGAGCTGGAGTACCGGCGTCGACGGCGAGCACTTCCGGGATCGATCCCAGAACATCGATTGCCTGCCGCCGGACCCTCCGGTAAGTGAAGACGTACCCTAAGAGAGGTAGAGGGAAGGAAGTCAATCAGTATTGATGGAAAGCCCTCAGTGACATCTGCAACAAGGATGTGATGGCAATTGGAACAGGAGAGGACTATATTATCTGAGATAGAATCTGAAGGTTTCATGCTGGCTTTTCTGAAATTCCATCTTCTTATTTATACTCTAATTGTTTTAGATTGCTTATGCTCATTCCTCACCTGTAGAGAAACCTCTCAGGATCACCTTATCCACAGAGACCTGGAGATTTGGAAAACAAGTCTCTTCCCCTTGTTCTGTACAGGGGATCACATCAGGCTTGGATATCGTAATTCCTGATCACAGGAAGAAAAGCAGGTGATATCACACTTTAGAAAACAAATCATGGAGTACTTACAAAGACCATGGACCAGATTCTGACACCTTTACTCATATTGGGCTACAGCTTTCTCCATAAATAGTCCTACTGACTCCAGAGGGAGTATCTGTGGAGTAAGATACTACTCAGCATGAGTAAGTAAATTACAACATGGCCTTGTGAGGTTAAACTCACAGCTGTTCCTCGTTGACGTGGACGTGTAATCCAAAACTGATGGGAAGATGTTCAATGAGGAGAGATGTGTTGCCTCTCCTTTAGAAGCTATCACAGCTTCCCTACATAGGGACTCATGGTGCACACTTATTATGCCACCTGCCAGTTCCTAAACAGTACACCACGTCAGAATGGAGAATCGCTTCCTAAGCCTTGAAAGACCAGCGCTCCCTTTTCAGGATGAAGCCAGTCTTATTGTGAGCGTGTGTCTGGCACTGGGTAGGAGGGGAGTAGAATAATTATGGATACGTATTTTATGTCTGTACATTGACAAAGACACAAAACACAAAGCCATTCTTCCTCCTTAGATATGCATGCAAGCGCTGTAGAAAGCAGAGGGACATACAGACACTCATGACTATGCTCAGGCAGATGCCCATATACACTGTCTGTCATGTACCTCAGAGGGTTGGAAAGCAGGCTCAAACTTTAGTATTCAGGCCAGCCTCTTGTCAGGGAAGAAGTGTGTCTAGCTAGGCATGCAGGCCTAGATCCACAAAGATACTTAGGCCCTTATGGACTTAGGCACTTAAGTCCTGTTTTTAGACGTCACTGTGAGCCACAAACGCCCCACTTGGCTGCTGCCTGACCCTGTAGGCGCCTAAATTTGCTAGGCACATACGTTTTTGCAGTAAAAGTTCCCTACATGCCCATGTTTCTGCCTCTAAGCATGCGCACTGCTGCCTCACTCTAGCCCCAAACCCCAGAGCAACCCACAAAAGGGAGGAAGATAGGCACTCATCTGCCTAACGTGCACAGGGCCTGATCAGGATTATAATATAGGTACAGGCCAATTTGGGCTATGTAGCTGTGTAGTAGAGTCCTTAGTGGGCTGGGTGGCCCAGTGGGTAGCATCCACTCAGCCATGGGGTAGTGGTAGGGGAGCCTAGGCCCCCCCACTCCATCAGCCTCCAACCCCAGGCCCTAGGAGGGTCAGTAGCATTGACCCTGAAGGGTGGGGACCCTCTGAGTTACCCTCCCTGGGACACTCCCTACCAATACTCCCTCTACTTCTGGTCCCAGATAAGGAAAAAGCCCCAACCAGGCTCAGGATACAGTCCTGGTACTTCAGGGAGGTGTCTCTAGCCCCCTTTGGCAAAAGCCTGCCATGGGGGTGAGAGGAGTGTAGTAGATCTCTACTCCTCTCCTGCCTTCTGGGCCGGGTTGCTCCCTTTTCAACCCTGTCTCCAGTTGGAGCATGCTCTGCAGGGTTGGACCAGCAGAGCTAACTGGGCCCAGGACTGTCCTTTAACCCCTTCCGTCCGTGTGTGGGGTTTGTATACCCCAACACAAGCTGCTATATTAATGCTTAATAATATGTACACTTAAATGTTTGGAATATGTATTGTGGGTAGTATTATCAGCATAATATATATGTAGATAGCCAACCTATATTAGTCAACACAGCTAACTCAGGCTTTGTGGATTGCAGTGTTGTTCCCGTAATTTTCAAGGTGCCAAAAAGTTAGGTGTTGCGATGCTAAGCATCACAATGCCTAAGCCCCTTTATGGATCTGAGTCCAAATGTCCCCAAAAAAATAGCTGTCAGGTGCAGAGACATCAAGGAAGGCAGACAAGCAACCACAGGCACTAAACAAATAGCTACCCGCTAAGGAGCCAAAGGCAGACAGGTAGGATCTAGCAAACATGGCACTTAAGCACATAGGCCAGCAAGCATGGAGAACTGCAGGTGGCTAGGCAGACTATGGGGAGGCTAGCAAGCACCTATACAAGTCAATGTCATCTTGCAGAAGCAAAGACAGCTGAATCCTACTATTTTATCCTGGGAGTTAAGTTCTCAGATAGCAAATCCACTCTGTTGCCCAAATCAATTCATTGACAGCCCAGCACAATTGGACACAAATCCTGGGATCCATATTTCAGGCACCCCAGATAAGCAATGGGGTGAATCAGCATAGGCTTGAAGTCTGCTACTGCTCCAATGAGTATCTGCATTTGGCAGCCAGACCAATCTGTACGCTCACTGCACAAGCCCCTTTTAGCAAAATACAGTATTCTTGAAAAAATTAACTGAGCATAAGGGAGCCATGGATTAAAATGAAGAAAGCTTGATTGTCCGTGGCCACAACCATCCTAGAACACACATGGCTCTGGAGCTCTCACATGTGCCTTGAGAAACCAGTTATCTGTGTGTGATATATGGTTGCCAACCCTCCAGGATTGTCCTGGAGTCTCCAGGAATTAAAGATTAATCTTTTAATTAAATAGTATGTCTTGTGATGGAACCTTCAGGAATGCATCCAACCAAAATTGGCAACCCTAGCTGTGATGAGGTGTATAGACCCTATGCTGCAACAGCCATAAAGGGGTTAATGGATAGACCTGCTACTTCCCCACGTGTGGCTAATTATTTGAGGAGTAATAGCTGGGATAAAAGGCTGCAGCTTTGGCAGAAAGGGGTAGCAGCTGGAGGGGACTACATAGAGGGAGTGCTTCTAGTGGGTGCTTGTGCTGCCTAAGGCGCAGACCCAGAAATGCCATGGGGTGAGAGTGCTAGGAAATAGCTATGTGGGACTGGACTTTCTTAGGACCATGTTGTTGGGCCCTTAGGAAGACTGCAATACAAGGATAAAAGTAGCTGACATGGGCCTGGAAGACCAAGAGAATGTGATCTTAAAAGGTCAGTATATTCTTAATACCCCTTTAGAGCTGGGGAATAAGATCCCCTCCACGCTGGAGCTGCAGACAGCCTGCAAGCCTAGATCACTCAGTGCCTCGTCCAGATTATATCTCCTACAGCTGTTGTTATGGTACAGGCATGCCAGGGCAGAAGAATGCTTATTAATCTTCCCAAGTATAGACTGGCTCAGAGTGTCCTAAGGCAAGCAGGGTGTGAATTTCTTAGGGTCTGGATGTGATAATAAGATGCTGTCTGGTCTCCAGAACCTCTGCTTGCATTTGAAAGCAAATGGAACCCTTGAGATGTTTCTTAAGACTTTGTAGAATTTTTTTCAATTTATTGGTTGCCAACTAATCCAAGGTAACTAGCCTTTACAAAGATGGTAATCTGGACAATATAATCGCTTGCTGGTTTTTGGCTGGGAATTCTGAAGATGTGGGGAGGAAGGAATTGTTCTGGGTCAAAAACTATTTGATTTTTGACTATTTTAAAACTTTTTTAAATTGCCTTTTCAGTTTGAAATAAGTGTTTTCAAATTTTCTTTTAAAATGTTTCACTTTGAAAAGTCACAA